TTTTGAGAATCAAGACGTGTGATGTACGTGGTTTGGAGTCGAATATTTTTAAAATGATTCTCAAAAAGAGAATAGTCACATAAATATTGTTTGACTCTATCAATATTTAAAGCAACTCCAATATATTGGAAGAGAGTAGATCAACCATAAAATTACAGAAGAATAAAGGAACTGATGACATACATTTCTGAGGGGATAATAGTTTAAACTATGAATCGACTCAGACATCGGCCGAACAAATGTCAATTGCGTTGCCTTACGGTAAAATTAATTATCCAATTCTTTATAATTTATTTTATATCTCAATTGTTTGGAAGCAATACATACATTTTTTTTATTTTTCTATTAGTGCTAGCAGTTGTTATGCTAAATAGATAAGGGAGGATAGATTCTTCTCTAATGGCTCAGGTATGGACAATAACTTTTTAGCCCGTTGTTGATATTTATGTTCTCTCAAATTGTATGAGCTAATTGATCGAGCAACCGATGTGGTCGATATATATATGTGTGTGTGTGTGTGTGTCAATTAGAATGAAACAGTTTTGAATAGGGTAAACACATAGAAGAATATAATTGCACTATTTGGAATTGCTATTTACACAAAATAAAATGAATTACAAAAATCATAAGGTAAGATTCTTTTAATTAAGAATTACATGTAAGAACTCATCTTCTTTTATTACATGCGCATCGTAGAAGAAAAATATTTTGAAGTAGGTTAATATTTATTTAATTATAATATATTAATCTTAACTATATCCCAAAGGTATCATTTAAATTGTTAAAAATAAAGTGACTTTAATTGTGTGGTTAAAATTGAGTTAACTAGCAAAATTATTGAGCAAATTACGATCCAACTATTTTATAAGTTGGTAACTCCCAAGTTAGAATATATTGGTTGTTAATAAATTATCATGTATGTATATTTTAATTTGTCATTGTATAATTTTGGGTTGGTAGAAGTTGATGTTGATGCGAGAATTTATTATGTTGAGATAATAATATAATATATTTTTATAATTTAAATTAAGATATTACTAAATGTATTTTTATTTGTTATTACTTTATATAGTATGACTTAACTCAGTTTCAATATAGATGAGATAGTTTGACTTGACATAGAATTTAAGAACGAAAAAGAAAACTTTTGAATTTTATGATCCTAACAATTTTGTGGGGCCATGATATTTGTATGGGTGTAAAGACTTCTCATAATATGTAAAATGGATAAAATAAAAAATTTAAAGTTGAATTATTTCCAAATACATAAATGTGTCATTCTTTTGGAATAGACTAATAAGAAAAATATTTTATGTAAATTGAAAGAGAAGGAGTATTTATTTTTGAATAATATTGTATTTTTATTTGTCTGTATCACCAACTACATATGGGGTTATAATATTTAAGTTTTTGTCAATAGTTATTCACATAATTTGTTCTTTTTAATTTATAGAATTTAGGAGTATCATAATATTATCCGCACATCGTACGGGTACTAATACTAGTAAAAAAAGTAATTAAGAGTTTTCTTTTAATGTATTGTCCTTTTCTATTTATATTAGGAAATATTAGAATGTAAAATAATTTGATTCCTTCTTGAAATATATATTTCTTTTAATTAACTAAAGATTTTAGGAATTGAAGACATTTTAGTTCCTTCTCTAAAACGTACTTTTCTCATTTATTTATGGTAGGTATTTTAGGAATGTGTTTTTCACTTTTCTAAATCAAGGTCCTAAATAGGAAAGTAATTTAATGAGTATTTCTAAATATTAGGAAAGTAAATTGAATGATTAATAGTCCCTCCGTTTCAATTTATGTGAACATGTTTGACTGGGCACAGAGTTTAAGAAAAAATAAAGATTTTTTAGAATTTGTGGTCCTAAACAAGTCAAAAAGGGGCCCAGAGTATTTGTGTGGTTATAAAAGCTTCTCGTTAATGGTAGAATTGTTAGTTTAACTTAAATTGTTTCCAAATTTATAAAGGGGTCATTCTTTTTGGAACGGACCAAAAAGGAAATAGGTTCACATAAACTGGAACGGAGGGAGTACTATATATAGGAAGATAATTAAATGACTATTTTGTCCAGTGTGAACACTATTTTAAAGGGGTAAAAAAGACGAACGATATTTTGCTAAGGGCCTTCGTACTTTTAATATAACTAGTCTTAGAGTACGTGCGTTGCTCGTGAACCTCATCTCAAAAAAATAAAATTTAAAAAAAGATCTCATAAACTTTATCAATATTTATGTTTGAGTTTATATTAGTAAAAGTTAACAAAAAAATATTAAATCATCAGAATAATTATTATCGATTCTATTTTACTAACTCAATAAAAGAAGAAGCTTTGCCCTATCAAGTCCTCAAAGTTTTAAATTTTAGTTCGGTCAAAATAAATTATTAATTATAATGATAATTTTTCTAACATGAATTCATTATGAATTGGCAAGTTCTATGATGGCTAACCGTCTACCGCAACCCTCCTCCTTTATGCTGGCTTGGGATTCAGGCATTACCGCCGTTGTTGTTATTGTTATTGTTGTGATATTTGACATGAAAACTATTTATGAATGGTTAACAAACTAATTTCAACTTTTATTAGAATTTCATATTTTTATAATTGTTTAGATATATATAGATGTAAATAGATAGATATATTTCGATTGTCTATCACAAATATTTTAGTGCAAATGTATGATCCTTAAATCACATTCCATCAAAATTATGGTAGATTTAGTTTAATTTAAGGATCTAAATATAAGAAAAAATTTAAATTCTAATATTAACTTTTTAACATAGATTTATTTGTTGAAGGAATACTTTAGTTTTCTAAATGCATAAAAGTGGATATGTCAACCAACTTTTACTCGGTGGGCAATTAACTTTACAAAAATTATTCCATAAATTTTTAGATTGTTAGGTACCTTAAATATTTTATTTTTTATTTGATTTATTTTAGAACTTTGGTAGTTATTTTTATACTTTCGGTATATTTATTTTTAAAATTAACATATAATAAGCAACCAAATCGATTGTTTTCAAAAGTAATTCCGTGTGTCCAAAGCCAAATAAAATCCCCGTCAGTTTTACATAAATAATATTGTTAACATTGTTTCTGCGTTCAAGTTTTATAAATGTCTAGGTTTGTTTGTGTCTTGAGGTAGAAATATAGTCATGTTTTTAAAATAAATGATACGTCTACAATGTGAGGAGGGTTAACTTTTTTAGAGTTAAAGATCAGTTTTTCTATATGGAAAAAGCATACTCATAAAAGTAACACATGCTAATAGTTATTCACCCAAATTAGAATAAGTAATGTATTTATATAAGTTTATTTTTTTACTTTAAAATCCTAAATATTAGGAGCTCTTATATAGTCCAAATAAGGAAAGATTTAATAGTCAAAATTTTATTTATTTTAAAAGTCATAAATATTAGGAAAATAAATAAATGACGATTTTGTCTAATGTGAAATCTATTTTTAAAGGGTAAAAAAGGCGAACGACATTTCGTTAAGGATCTTTGTGCTTCTAATATAATATATATATAGATAGATGAATGATTATTCATTCAAACTTTCTCATGCTACCAATCTGGGATTTTGATGCTCTATTTCCTGTCTAACCTTTTCTGGCAAAACCCATGTTTTCCCACAGCATGTCTATGGTTCACTCGTTTACCCACCACCATCTGTCAAACTTGGACATGGAAGTTCTGATCTTTATTCCATGCTTATTTTCAGTTTCTTTCTATTATTGTAAAAAAGAACAGTAAATAAAGATTTTTTCTCCAACCGTTTAAATTTTTGCATCAGAAATCCAACGACCCAATACAGTATCAAAATAAGTAGAGGACTTAGATATGAGTCTCACAACGCAGTGCCACGTGAGGCCTAAACCAGTGAAACAAAAGCTTTACACCCCCAAATTTAATCGTACGTGCTATGGTTAATTTTTCTTCAAAAATAATTTAATTTTAACGTAAAAGTACAAGATCTTTATAAAAAATGAAATAGAATCACTTAATTGGCCATGTGACTGATTTTTTATAAAGATCAACCTTAATTAGCCATGTGATTGAAAGAAATTGAGGTTGATCAATTTTTATAACCACGGTTCAATTGGGGTTACAAAAGGCAAAACTGTGGAAGAAACATATATTTACATCATGTGGCCACACCGGTGACCTTGTAGTTTGCAGTTGATCATTTCTTCAACTTTAGACTCATGGTCTGAATGCCAGTTTTGAATATGAAACTGTATATATCAACCTGAATATGTCTATTGGTAATCTTAAAGAAAACGGCGTCAATCTGGAACACCACCAACAACAACAACAACCACCTAGTATAATCTCATTTAGTGGGATCTGGGGAGGGTAGTGTGTACGCAGACCTTACCTCTACCCTAGGGTAGAGACTGTTTCCAAATAGACCCCCGGCATCTTTCCCTCCAAGAACTTTCCCACCCTACTCTTGGGGAGACTCGAACTCACAACCCCTTGGTTGGAACACCAGTTGACCTAATTATGTGAGAAATAAAAACATGACAGGCTCATGAATTTGAAATTAAATTGCGTCTTTAGACATCAATACAATGAAGCTACAAGAGCAAGTTGAATCAATCTTTAGGTTTCCATTTACATACACGACTGAATACTCTCATTAGCCTCTTGCAGTGCTAAACCATCTCGAACCAGGATCCAGACAACAAAAATATCTACGCCTCAATCTCAAGCTAGTCGAAATCAACTATCTGAAATCCTCACTATCCACATCGTTCCATTTAGACATGTCTCAATCTAGTATTCAATTATTTAGGTTCACCAACACAGAAAGCTATCTTCATTTTCTATTAACATACATTCTAACAAAGATTAACTCCTAGTTAAGGATACCAACATGACTAAGTCTTAATCTCAACTAATTAGTATCGTCTATCAAAAAATGTATTAGAAATGACTTAAGAAAAATCCCAACCAAAAACTTTGTAAATTGTTGGACAATCATTCAAATCTTCTTCCCAAGATGTCCGTATATATCCTCAAAACAGAGGCACAAAAAACCACATGAGAAAGGACATGAGTATTCACATTTTTCATCAGAAGTACAGTTCCTCAGTTAATCAGTTTGAGCAAAACGAACTTTTAAGTAATAGGAGAAGACCCGTGAATCAACTTAAAATACTGTTTGCTTCCCCTATAGTCGTTCGCAGTAGTGTCCAAAAACATATACAACAGAGAAGACAACAAAGATGTTAGTATCTAGTAGTATCTAGCTTCAAACTTAAAGCAAAATTCTGAAGCCCTTGAGCTTTTTGCAAAATGAAGCCCACCATATCACCGTTCCACCTTAATAAAATGTGCAGTAAGTAGTTTTGATACTCCAAATCCCGTGAAGGTATCAACATCAAATAGTTCTTTCAACTTCTCATCACATATTATTTTCCTCTTGTCAGACGGATCCTTCAAGATAAACAAAGAAAACTTTAGCGAATGCCGAACTTCCATAAAGTTTATGCTAAGCAATCAGACCACAATATAAATCATAGAATTGAATCTGGAAATGCAATTTCTGTCCCTCAACCAAACATGTTTGGAAGCTTTCTCAAGAAAACTCAAAAGGAAATGTTAAATGCTTAAGTTGTCAGGCGCTAATGAATTGTCAGTGTTCCTTCCTCATATATAAGAAATTTGCGTCCTGTTACATGCTCATCCAAAGTTCCTTCTAGATGCAGTGTTAAGTTCCCTAGTTGAGAAGAGATGCAATCCTCCACTTACTGAATCGACTCTCTTGCTTCTCATAATTATACTGACCCAAAGAAAATAAAATTGTATGATTAAGTCAGCTGGCAGGATAAAATACTTCCACTGTCTAAATGAAGGTGCTTTAACAAAGTTGGTGATAGAACCAAAAGAAAAGTAAGGCAAGCATAAAGAATGTACCTAGGCAATTATTTATATATTTTAGATCAATGCTGAAGCAACATTCTGAAATTAATTAATTGACTACATTTTAAAGCAAAAACAGACCACTGCTAATATGACAAGAAAAAGTAATGTGAGTGAGGACAAGCGAGCATGCATGACTTTGTAGTTTCTGACTTTGTAAACTCTATACATATCTTTCTTTTTATAATGGAAGTGCCCAAGCTAACTTGCACATACTAGGCTATTTTACGGGATACCTGCTATCTCCCACCAACACATATAAGTATATAACGGATAACTCTACTCACCAAACCTTAGTCAGATCATAAAAACTCACTACTTATCTTACATGCCAAAATGGCGATGCAATTAAATAACATAATTTTTGGATGGACTGATAGGAGGAGGAGGTAACACAAGTGGAAGTGAAAGAGGAGTAACGGAGAATTCCCTTGTTGGTCAGGAAGCACGACGGGGAATAAACCAAACTTGTGCAGAAATGAAGAAGCATATTCGCTACTCTTGCTACTCTTGGCATTGTTGAACCCAACATAGTAAATATGTTGGAGGCTGTTGTCCAGTGATCAATTAAACCTTGGAGAGCAGGCTTCAAATCACATCGGAAACACATAACACTAGGTGATTTCTTCTCATCTGCTTAAGCCTTGGTGGACAGAGTTACTAACTCTATCGGTAGGAGGCAGTAGGTACTCGGTGGAATAGTGGACGTGCGCACAAGCTAACCCCGACACCACCATTATTAAAAGAATAAAAATTATATGTTGGAGATCCTTAGGGAGCAAACTCTGAAAACAAACATGACCTGATTGAGTGATAATTCATGTCTTTGATGTCCTTCAAAAGATTTCAATTTTTTGGTTAAAGGCCAGCATGGGTTGCAGTCTCATTATATGCTCTTGGATAATCCTCCCCTTGTAAGTTAGCTCCCCTTCTTTTTTCATCTTTCCTTGTGCCGAGTGCCTATCGGAAACAGATAGGGGTAAGGTCAAGGTCTGCTTACACACTACCCATTACACTGGGTTTTTGTTGTTGTTGAAACCAGACCGATCCCTGATGTTGGGTTATCCGTGTTCCAGATCTTCAGTCCTGCACCTAGGGAGGAGAGTTGAAGGAATGGATTGTAGTTTCTTTATATGGTTTTGGACAATTCATTTTCCTAACAATTTGACAGAAAATTAAATTCTTGAGAATAGTTCTCTCTTCCAGAACTACTTGAAACTGACTTACTACTTTCTAAAATCAGATCTTTCGAGGTAATGACGCTAGACACCTATACGGGCTACATACGTTTACAACCTATCACTAGGTATTGCAAGAAAGCTATTTGGTGTAGCAAATGAAAGAATTCAAGAACTTTACCTGTCTAAATCAAGCAACATTTAAGTATATATCTGTTACCAGCAACACTGAATATGACTAAGGGCAGAAAAGGATGAGCACCTACCGCAAGACATATAGAGAATGACCTAGCTAAAGTTGAAATATTAAAGACACACTACATTGACCTTAAAGCTAGTTTTTAAAATTCAGGAATAAAAAGAAAAAGAAAATGTTAATTCAGTGGAGAGAAATTAGATGAGATACCACAAATTAATGTCTACCTGCAAGTTATTTTGCTTAATGTAATCCCAAATTCTTTTAACAACATTGCCTCGTGGCAGTTCACTCTCTCCTGTACCGAGGAACTTTATTAAGGCATCAGAAAGCTGGAGTGGAGCAAGAATTCCAGAGTTGTGCCGCTTTTCCTTTCTCTTTGGCTCATCTGAATCTATTATCAAATATACGAGGGATCAAATATATCGTTAACAAATTGTGCATTGTGTATGGACAACAATAGAACTATGTATGAATCATTTATCAGCAACAAAAAACAATGTAGGAACAGACAACAACCCTTTAATATTTCTAAATGTAAATCATGAATTGAAATAAAGTTGCACGGATAAATACTATCACAGCCATCTAAGAAACTAAAACAAGTTTTTTGGCATAAGGACAGTAAGCAGAAACAACTTTCACAGCTGGGAAAAGAAATTGTCTAAATAGTAGCTGAAGCTAAGTTATTACCTTCATCCTCCTCTTGCTTCTGCCGCTTTTTCTTTGCCGTAGAATTTTTTTCCCTCGCAGTAGAATTTACCGAACCAGAAGTTGTTATTGTGGAAACTGATTCATAGTCACATAGAGGTCACAAGTGGAAAATTAGAAATGCAAGACTTTACACATGCCAAGAATTAATCATTCAACAGGATTTTAGTTGTTAAACCCAAAGGCCAAAACTAACAAGCTGTAACATCAGCTAATATAACATGCATAAGATTAATGTTTACTCAAATAGTATTATTGATTTACATGCTGACCACAAGTTGGAATTAAGACAAAGCATCCTACATGAGGAAACATTCTATCATTCTTCATCCCAGCCAATATTACGTTCGTAAGATTACTGTTTCCTCATGTATTATTATTGACTACAAGCTAACCTTGGGCTGCAACACAGAAAAGGCTCATAATTGCATAGAATGACAAATGAAGAGAAAAAAAAGTTACTGAGAAATAAGGTGGCCACAATATGACATGAAAACTAGTACAGAATGTACTTTTCAGGAGCTTGTAGAAACCCACCTTACTTTCAATAGTTAAGAATCAGAATACAGTCTTCTAAAGTGTCTGATTTCTACATGATCAAAAAGCACGATACAGTATTACATGGCAGAACATTAAAAAGCCAACAGCATACAAACACAAATCTAGTCTAAAAGCCAACAGCATACAAGCAATTAATCTGAGAGCAGTTGCAGCAAAACTTTATAAGAACCGAAGATAAGTTAGTAACAGCATTATTTAGCAAGAAGCAACACAAAACCGATCTATGTACAAAATTCGCCAAATGGGAAGAATCAAGTGTCATAGAAAAATTTACCAGAAAGTATTCAGCAAACCAAGGGGAAAAAAGAAAAAACAAAGGAAAAAGAAAGAATGAAGAGAAGCATCTCCATACCACCATCAGAATCCAAGGGCCAAATATGCTTTGCCAGGGCCTTGTTCATTTGAAACATGTCTATTTTATCCACACCAAAAAGCTCTCGTAATGTGTCATCACAGTTTATATTCCGCCTATTTGACGGCTCTTGCAAATCATTTTCACGAATATAGTTCCACATCCTCTTCACCACCTTCATAGAGCATTTGTGAGGATTTAGTTCATGCACAATAATATCAAGGGCAATGGAGGCTTTAAAAGAAGACAGAAGCATGCAGATTTGTGATACCTCAGTCCTTGCAAGTTCTGCTTCCCCAGTAAATTTTTGAAGTTGGGGAGAAAGGCTACATATTTTGGTAAATCCACCAGCTTTCCTTCTAACATTTTCATTCTTCTTCCCAGACCTAATAGGATTTAGTGTACCATTAGTTCAACCAGTGTGGTCTAACATCTAAGGCTAAAATAAAGAGATCCCCATAAGAGGCAAATAAGCAATTAATTTTTTTCAAATACAATCATTCAGATACTCATATTTTCTCTCCCCACTCAACATGCCCAGATTCATAGCTGATGAAATATAATGGTAATAATTGTTTGCTGCAAACATTAAAAGTTCGGAAGTTCTGGGTCAACAGGTTTGATACATGAGATTTGTCAGATATCAGTAATGTTGTACTGAAGGACAAGGACATGATCCGCGCATAACCAAAAGAGCGATGAGCCAGCTTAGCATCACTGATCAGCAAATATCACCTCATCCTTTTGGTATTAGCATTTTTCTCTATTGATAAGAAACTTTCTTTCATTAGTTTAAATATCATCTAAACTTAATACCACCGTATAATGCAGATCCGGACATGAGAAAAGATGTCACACAACCACCAAAGTAAACTACTCACATGCACACACATGATCAATACCCCTGGCTATATAGGGGTGGCTTCTCCCAGAGAGAAGGAGAGAGCATTCCCTCAGCAAAACTAACTGAAGTTCCACCAAGATAAACTATCAGGTCATGAAAGGGGAAATATAAAGTCACATGTCATAAAAGGGAGGTTCCGACCATACAATCCACCTAAGCTTTCTGATTGTGACTATTTGGAAGGAAAGAAGCAAGATTTTGGTCACTATTTTGCTCGGTGTTTACTTTAGATCTTCCTAGCTGTTTCGTAAGATGTCAACTTTAGATTTTATTTAAGACTGCTATTCCTCTTCTTTTGCACTTTGCCTGAGGGGTCAATTGGGTGGATCATAGATGAAAGGAAATAGAATGGAAACAATGAGCTGAAAATTGCATTATGTTTCGTAATTCTTATGTATTCCTTTCCTCCCCATTCCTTCAAGCCAATCAACATCTCACAGATTTTCCATTCTTTTTCCTTTTATTTTTTGGTTTGCATCTACTTTCTCTCTTAATACGAGGAATTGATCTTCTTTTCTCCTAGCCTATTACAATCCAAGTAAATTTCTCTATTTCATTCATTTTACACATTCTTCAATTAACACATGCATGGATTGGCTATAGTTTGCATAACTTCTTCCTGGAGATTCTTATGCTGGTTTCTGGCAGTATATTTGTAGCAGTCATGAGAAAGAATGATAGCAAAAGCAGCTAATGCCTCTGCAAACAAGAGGAGGAACAAGCAATAATCTCTCAGGCTAATGCAATCCTGGTACTATATTTACTTTTAATTTTTTTTTTAAAGTAATATTAATATCCTGGCCCAACACCAATTAGTATTATTTAACATCGCTGGAAAAGCGCCCTTCACTTTGACAATTTCAATAGCAAATGGGGGTCATAGTTCAGCCTTCAATTAAGCAGTGAACACAATGAATGAGTTGAAAGTTAATGCCGATATATCAATAATAGCGGTGAAATGTTTAAACCTCCTCAAGCAAATAATAACACAATCGAACTACTGTAACATATTTGGTTAATAGAAAAGGAAGTGACAGAAACATAAGGATGACAAATTGAGCAAAGACTACAACCCTTGACAACAACAAGAACTATTTGTAATCAAAGGAGACAGCAGCAGATAATCACAAGATTTCGACTTTCTACTCCCCCCCCCCCA